CTTCCCTCCGCCGCAGAAAGAGCAGCGGGTCTCCTGCTCTGCTTCTCCTCCTGGGTCGCCCTCCCCGCTCTGCTTTCTGCTCCCTGCCCTGATCTGCCGCTCTGCTTGCTGCTCTTTTCCAGATCAGGCACCAAGAGGGAAGAACAGCAGCAGATCTGCTCTGCCCCCGCCCCCTTCTTCCTGATTGGTGCTCTGCCTTTCTGCACCGGTTCCCATTCTGCTCTGTTTTCTGCTCCCTGTCATGATCAGGCCAGAAGTAGAAACTAAGAGCAGCAGATTCCTGCTCTGGCCCCACTTCCTGATCCACCCCCTCCTCCATCCTGATAGGGGCTCTGCATCCCATTCCCATTCTGCTTTCTGCTCCCTGCCCTTGCCTCCCTCCCGTCTCTGGTGGTGAGATGCTGGGGGGGTGGGGGGGCACCTGGGGCCAGGTACAGAGCAGAAAGAAGAGGAGCAGGTCCCTTGCTGTGCTTCCTCCCCCAGGCCTCCTTAATCTTCCTTCTGCTCCCTGGCCTCTTTTCCTTATCAGGCAAGGAGCAGAAAAAAGAGCAGCAGATCCCTTGCTCTGCCTTCTTCCTGGTCTGCTTTCTGCTCTTTGCCCTGGGCTTCTTTCCTGATCAGGCAGGGAGCAGAATGAAGACCAGAAGATCTCCTACTCTGGGCCCCTTCCCCGATCTGCTTTCTGCTCCCTGTCTTGATCTGCTCTACTTCCTGCCCTGGGCTCCCTCCCTGATCCACTTCCTGTCCTGATCTACTGCTCTGCTCTGCTTCCTCTGTGCATGGTGTAAAATCAGAACAGGGATGGGTCTGGGGCTCTTCTGCTCCCCACTGCTGGCTAGTGGAGGTGCCCGTCCCACCCTTGATTGCATCTTACTAATTGTGGGGGGGGCTGTCTCTGGCTGCTTGCAGGCAAGCCAGGTGGGCTCTCACTGGGGAGGAGGACACCCCCACTGTCCCAGCAACCCCTGCTCCTTCATGGGGGTTCCCTGGGGGGCTCCACCCCCCCCTCTGCTGGACACATCCTGGAGGGAGGGTGCAGTGCTGGGGGGCTGGGATATGAGGAGTGACACCCCCCTCCCCTCCAGCATATGTGCTGCCCAAGCTGTACGTGAAGCTGCACTACTGCGTCAGCTGCGCCATCCACAGCAAGGTGGTGAGGAACCGCTCCCGTGAAGCCCGCAAGGACCGCACACCCCCACCCCGCTTCCGTCCCGCAGTAAGTGGTGCCTGCAGGCTGGGGGGGAATGGCTGGGCTGGGGGCGGGGGTGGTAGGAAAGGGGTGCTGTCCCTGGGGCCTCTGTGCCACTCTGTCCAGGTGGTCCTGGGTGCTGCCAGGCTCTGTCTAACCTCATCCTCTGCTTTCTCTCACAGGGTGCTGCCCCCCGGCCCCCACCCAAGCCCATGTAAGGAGTTGGTGCTGGAGATGGAGATCCAGCATGGATTAATAAATGAGTTATACTTGCTGCCTGTGTATGCTGGTGTGTGGGCAGGGGCTGGGGCCTGGGCTGGGCAGGAAGGCGGAGGGTGAGGCTGTCACTTCCCATGGCTTAGAGCTCAAGCATGAGGTCCAAGGGGGGTGGGCTCCAGGGCACTGTGTGGGACAGGTGCAGTGCGGGTAGGGTGGGGGCTCCATATCCTTTTGCGGAAGCCTCGATGCTGAGCACAGGCCTGGGCATGGCAGGGAGCCCTGGCACCACTGCCGGCTTGCAGTGCAGTGGGGTCCTCCTGCGCGGTTGAGCCGGAGGCTGCTTCCCAGGTCCCGGCGCCATGTGCTCCGGCCGGCTGCAGCGACGCCGA